ATTCATCAAGAGCTTTCATTTGAGTACCAACATGAATTTTTATATATTTTTCAAATATACATATATAATAAATATATGAAATATATGAAAAATTGATGTGGGTATTCAAATGAAAGGTCTCGATGAGTGTAATGTCGGGATGAGCTTATATCTTTAAAAATGTCTATAGTTTACAAGATATAAGGTCATTTCTTATTTATATATCTAAAAATAGATTATTATTTAAGACTGGCATTTCATGGTAAATTGGATCTTATTTTGAGGAATTTTTGTTTCAGCATTATTTCCGAGCTGCTGGATACAACAATAAGAGAACAGAATGAAAACGCGCATGATGAACCAGTGGAGGCCGTTTTTCAGTCCATTTTGAGGGAGAAAAATCTTAATATCAAGGACAAGAGAGCTGCTATTGTCGATTTTATAGCTGCTGGAATACACACGGTATTTATTTTCAATAAATATAGTTTACTTCATAATTTTTTCACTTAATTATGATTATTTTTGTTTTTTAATGATACTGAAGTCATGAAAATTAATTTAGCAGATATTTGATAATTTTAAGAATTTTTTTTAACAAATAAATTATGACAAAAAAAATTGACAAGTAGAAATTTTAAAAAGTAAAAAATTGAAATTTTTTAAAAATAATTTTTGGGAAGAAATTTGTTAGTTGAAATAATTTTACTCAAGTTAACAAATATCGTCAATTTTTAGAAAATTTTACTCACAAATTATAACAAAAAAATTTATTTAAAAAATTCCATCTTTATAAGCTCTAAAAAAATTTTTTTTAATAAAAAAAAATCATTATTGAAATTAAAAAAAAAAAAAAACTACGAGTACAGTTTAAAAAAAACCTTTATAATAATAATAATAATAATAATAATAATAATAAAAAATTATTTATTGTAAGTAAAAGTAAAGGATTACAAACAATGAAATTGAATTGCAGCTAGGTAACACCCTGGTATTTATCTTCCATTTAATTGGAAGCAACTCGGCGGTCCAGAAAGAGCTTTACGAAGAAGTTATAAACCTGGCTCCAGCAGGCTGCGATATCGCGGCTGAAGATCTCAACAGTGCAAAATATTTACGCGCCTGTATCACTGAAGCGTTTCGGGTAATCCCCACGACACCTTGTATCGCAAGAATTTTAGACGAACCAATTAAGCTGTCTGGCCGCGTAGTGGAGGCGGGTGTAAGTTTCCAAGATTTAAACAAAAGCTAGCATAAATTTCGGGAAAATTATAAATAGACCTGAAATTATTTTTATTTTTTATCCGTTGCAGACTGTTGTTCTTTTGCACACGTGGATAGCAGGTTTACAGGACTGTAATTTCAAGAATGCCAAGGAATGGGTGCCCGAGAGATGGCTGAGCCCCCTCACACCCCACAGCCCGCTTCTAATGCAGCCTTTTGGGTTCGGACGCAGAATATGCCCCGGCAAGCGGTTCGTCGAGAAGGCGCTCCAACTAATTGTCTCTAAAGTAGTACGTCAATACGAAATAGTCGCTAAAGACGAGCTGCAATTGCAGTTTGAGTACATTCTTGCACCCAAGGGTCCCATTTCCCTTGACTTCAAAGATCGCCAAATTACACACTAATTATTAGTTTATTATTAATTTAGTCACTAATTATTCTTCTTCACTTCATTCTTTATCTTCTTCTTATCTGATCTTTTCATCATTTGTATGTATATTTAAAAAAAAAAATTTTTTTTCTTCTACAAGTACTTTCACAATTTCATTTAACTAACTATTTATTGTTACTCAACTCCATTTTATCGTAGTTACACTTTCATACTCGCCAATTAATCTTATTAAATCACTGCATGTATAAATATTTCATAATTTCCATTTTAGTTAATTTTTTTTCATTGCGAAAACATTTTTTTTACTCCGTTTACTAAATTTATTCATGATAAAAAATCATTAAAATGTCTGTCTGTAAAAAAGATATAATACTAAAGTTAGCCGACATTTTTTGATTTTTTTTTAATAATTAAATTAGAACAAAAAAATATTTTTTAAAAATTGCACTTACAGTTTTTTAAATTTTATACAAGTGAATTTTTTTTTTTTTTTAATGAAAAAAAATCTTAAAAATTTTTAAATGTCGGCTAACTTAATTTTCATAAAAATGATTTACTTACAACTAACACTGCAAATAAGACTGCTGGTAAATATATCAAGAAATATTAAAGAAAAAAAAAGGGAGTATTTTAAAAAAGTATTCCAAAGTAAAGTTTACCCAATTTATAAGAATATAATGTTGGCGAGTTAATTATAAATATTATATAAGGAGTTTATTGACAAATTGCCTGATGTAATATTGTAACTATTGTTGCTCAAGTGGTTAAAGACTGAAATCAATACTTTTTGTAAATGTAAATCCATTTGTTTCATAGAAAAATTAATTTTCAATTAATCAATAATTGTAATGATTAATTGATAAATTAATTATTAAGTCATGCTGTCGTGCATCACCCGACTCGTAGAAGGTATTTAATAGATAATAAATAAATATATTTTGATGTACTATGTCAGTATAATAAGCTAAGGGGCCATTTGTTAATTACGTAAGGATATAAAAATTTAATTTCATTTTTGATTCCAAATAATTTTCTTAATTTAAAAGTGTATAGTCGGATTTTTATTTTATTTAAATAATTTTTATTGCTTATTAAAAAAAATAATGTTTTTATTGTTATCCGTGTTTGGTTCTGTAGAAAAATTATAGTACATTTTTTCGTGAATTATCGTATTTTTATTATTTAAAAAATAAAAAATATTTCTTGTTAAAAAACATTATTATTTGTTAAAAAATAAAAATGATAAATTCACGTTGACCTGTAAGTTTTAGTGAAACTGATCCTTTTCTAACTCACTGAGAAAAAAAAGTACTATTGAGAAAATTTTCTTGTCTTAAGAATATATATTCTTGATACACAGAAAAAAAAATTCAATTATATAATTTTGAATTTCATATTCTTGATTTGAGTAGAAAAATTCTTAAGCTAAGAAATTTTTCTTGATTCAAGTAAATTTTACTTGATTTAAAAATTTTTTATTTTCATTCAAGACTATTAAAACTCTTCAAAATTATTTTCTTGGTTCAAGAATTTTTCTCTTGAATTAATTTATATTTTTTTTTCAGTGTAATTTTTAAGAATATATTTTCTTGTATCAAAAAAAGTGAACCTATTTGTTTGTTAATCTATAAAAATTAATGACAATATTTTATTATTTTATTAATGAATTTTAAATAATTTTTGAGCCAAGAAATTTTTTTCTCGAAAAAAATTTTTTTTTCTCAGTGCACAACAATTGATTATTTAGAAGATCAAGATAAAATCTTACGTATACTTACATAGGGGTAGGAGAGAGACAATAGTCACCAAAATTGTCCGTACGTAATTAATGAATGGCCCCTTAAGCATACATGTAAAGCTGGGCTAAACTATGATCTTCAAAATACGTATTTACGTTAAAAGTAAATATGTATACTAGTACCTTATCTGCTAAAATATATGTACACATAGATAATATTAAAGTAAATTTTTGTAAATACGAAAATTTATGTACATATATCAATATTTGTACAACATAAAGGATTATATAGATATTATATTATATATATTATAAATATATTGAAAATGTACACCGAAGTGCTTTTACTGCAATTGAAAATTACATTAATTAAAATAAAAATTCTTAATTAAATTTTATTCATTTATTACTCTTAAATTTTTCGTATAAATTAATTATAATTAATAATCATATAAAATACTATAACAATTTTGATTAATCCTCTTTAAGTTATTAATCAACATAAAAAATTATCTGGATAAATAACACTAAGTACCAGTAATTGTTTATATTTAATTAAATATTAAGTGAATGCCTCGAGATAAAAAGTGACCGGTAATAACGTTGATAAATTAATAAATTAATTGGAGAAATTGTTTACTTTCAAAATACCCCAGCTCAGTCACAAGTCACATGGCACTTAAATGTTATTATTAATATATTATTTATTTTTATTATTTATTATAAAACATTCAATAAACAATTATTTACTCCGTTAAATTGAAACTCGGAAAACTGCTTTTAACAGCTTTTATAATGAGTAATTATAATCGAGCTCATATAGAAGACTAAGCGGCTATCTGTAAGTTTTTATTGGTTTCGTCAAACTTTGGTAATCGTTGTAATTGTATTTATGAGAGAGTAAAAAAAAATACAAATTTATCGACTGTAATAACCAGAACCGTGACATTTTAAATCGTGCTGAATGTGTATTATCTTTATTTATAATCTATATTTTTTATTTATAAAAAAAACGCTCTTATGATACTACATTTGATTTTAGTTTAAATTATAATTTATATGTATAAATAATATATATTTATATTTATAAATCGATGGTTAGTAAGTTAATCAATTTTTAAAGATCTTATAATACTAGTCGTTGACAAATAACGTGAGACCGCCTGTATCTAAAGCATTTTAATCAGTCCGATTGCTATTTTCCGATAATAAGTTATTTTATTTATTTATTTCTTCTATAGTTTATTGTCATTATTAGAGCCGAGATTTTTGCCGAAAAAAGTCTTGTAAAAAAATTTTATAAAGAAGTTGAAAATTTAATTTTTTATAAAAAATTTCTCATAATTAATTTATAATAAATGATTAAAATTTTTGCTAATTATAAAAATTGAAATTAAGACTTTATAAGAGACATATTTTTTTTATAAGACTAATATTCCGTACTTAGGCTCTAGTAATTATTATTATGATTATCATTATAACTATTAATGATTGTAATTATTTAACCAGACTTTTAATGCTTTTAGGTAAATTAGATATTGAACCTTTATTGACACTAGCAGCGGTAGGTCTCATGAAGCTATGATTGCGAGGCTGGACCAGTTTACTCCTACTGGGAGTCGACGTCAAAGTCTTTGAGCTTGGAGTCCGATTTTGAAGCATCGGGGTTGACACACTGCTGCTGCTACGGGAAACAACAGGTCTTGGTCTCGTGCTTTCACTTATTCCCTAAAATAAAGCCAATATCATCAATCACATTCCAAATAAAAAAAGGGCGAAATGGAAGTAGATTTTATAATGAATAAAAAAAAAAAAAAACTTAATTTGCTGTCATTTTTAATACAATGAATTTAGAAAAATGATAAAGCATGTAAATTAAAGCTTATTTGATAAGCTTTGAGATGCAATTTACAAAAATACAAAAAATATTTTTCACGGATTTTTTTATCCATGGATATTTAGTCCGAAGATATTTTGACAAGGATATTTTGTCGGGAATATAGAGCCGGGTTACCATATATACGATATAACCGGCCTTATTTCTACTCTAACTCTCACAATTTTTAACGGATCTTCATCAAACTTTGCGTTTATATTCTACGGATAATTACCGAGATTAAGTTCAAGAATGACCTGAATCGGTCGGATATTTAAAAAATACGAGCTGATAAAATTTCAAAAAATTGCGAAAAATTCAAATTTTTTTGGCTCTCCTTGCAATAACTTTTAAATGCGATAACTTATCATATTTCTGTAAATTATACCTTAAAACTTATTTAATAATCTTCAATTTCCATGCTTATTTATTAGCCTAAATCTAAATCAATAAGAGCAGATTAGAAATTTCAAAAATCGCGAAAAAATTCAACTATTTTTGATCCGCTGTACAATTAATTTTAAGTTTAATAATATTTTTAATATTAAAAATGTGTTAAAATAACCCTCAATAATTTATCAATATAATAACCTTTGATGATTTTGTGTTTTGTTTCGTACCTTCAGTACCCAAAAATTTAATTGTATTTCGACGGTTTAATTAGCAATTTTTTTTTACTTCTTATCTTTTATAAGATGATTTTTTAACAATTTGATGTAGCAATAGTTCAATTATAAATTATTTGAATGTTCCTAACCAAAATATTATACCTCTCTTAAATATTAAATGGTTTTTTAAAGTGATAATAAATTTTGAACTAATTATTTTTTTCGTACAAATGGAAGATTCTTTAAAATGGAGTTAGACAATTTGCTAATTAGAACGTCGATTTGATTTGTTAATTTTTGTATATTTTGCCCACGGATTTTTTATCTATGGATATTTTATCCAGCGGAATTTTTTGTCATAATAATATTTTATCCAAGAATATTTTGTCCACGGATATAGAACCATAGAACCGTATATATAAGAAGAAATAAGAACGTAAAATTTTTTTTTTTAATTCTGACATGAGGACCAATCTAAAATTTAAATTTCAATAAAACCTATTAAAAAAATAAAACATCCACTTACTGACTGAATTTTTCGAACATTTCGCACCACGGGACCAACACTGCTCTCGCTACTGCTGCTTCTGCTAGCAGGAATCTTACTACCAACCCTCGAAGCCACCTGTCTTTTCTCTCCCTCTTTCCCACCTTCTTTAACCAGCGACCTAGAATTTTTCCTCAGATCACTGGTCATGGCACAAATAGCCGAAGTGTACCCCCTGAGCTGCGGATGGCTTGGCGCTAACTTCCTAACAGTATTAACCGAGCTCGCACTGTTCAAAGAGCTCTTAGAACTCCTCAAACTACTCCTAGAAGCCGACTTTTCCACCGGATTGCGCGTCAGCCCAGTCACAGTTTTATTCGGGACAATCTTCTTGCTCGAGTCAATTTTCTTAAGCTCGCGCTTGGGACTTTCCGATTTCTTCAAAAAGCTAATCTTGTCGCTCTCCGGCTTGGTCCTCGCCCTAAAAGACTTGAGCCTCGCAATCTCGTCCTTGCCAATCACTCTCTTCGGCTCAGGAGCCTCTTTAACATACCTCATCTCAGCCGGAGAGCAACGAGGCGAATCATGAATATCAGTTTCATAATTACCCGAAGAAGTTTCCTGACTAAGAGTCTCTGAAACAAGACTCTGGGTCTCTTCAAAGCCTTCATCATTGAGCTCCAGCTCCTTGCCCTTCACCAAGTGTGTCGAGGAGATATTAACCTCTGGTAAAAACTTGCTCTTGAAGACTGGCGAAGTTTTACAGGGACTAGATGAACTTTTATCAACCTTATCACTTCCTTTTACAGTTACCAAGCCTTCATTGGTCTCTTTTTCTTTAACCTGGTCATTTTTAGGCTCTGGAGAAGTCACACGCAAAGCTGGAACCACTTCTTGGTCTCCATTGGTAACAACAACAGCATTGGCTTCATTAACGCGACTGGGCGGGTTGCTGGTCATCCTCATAGCTTCGCGAACTTGACTGGGATCAATCATGCTGCGATGTCTCTCCCTACAAGAGACTGCCCGTTCAGGCCAGACCGGAGTCATCTCCCTGGGCCGCGACTCTTGCATAACTGGACTCAAAACAGTATTAGTAACAGCAACAACCGGAGCCGGTTGGGTGATAGGCAGTCTTGAACTTCTATGCCTAGCTAATCGCTGATTAACTTCCTCGGTATTAGACTTGGCAGCAATCTCCGTTAAAGCGGACTCAAAGTCATTAGTCGCGTGTCGGCGCTTTAATTTATCTTGCCAGAGTCTCAGCATTTTATCTTCATCTAGATCGTTGTCTTCTGAGAGAGACAAAGTATTGGGACGCTGAGGTTTGTCTTCAAGCTCGGAAGAAACTCCGGTGCTATCTTTGTCTACTGGGTTGTCTTGGCTCTTCTTGTAGCGTCTGGTCTTGCGAGCTGCGGCGTAGCGGTCAAAGTTACCGCTTCCGAGGTCACTTTCTGGTGTTGGTTTATTGGGAGTGCTGCTTGCAGATACTTTCGTGAAATCACGGGCTGTAATAGAACTGCTGCAGCGCTCGCGCTTGCAAGGCTCTTTGTCGACGGGTTTCACTTCCCGGGGAGGGCTGAACACTCGACGGGTCACGGGAGGTGTCTCAATGTTATCTGAGTCGATTTCAATCTTATCGCTGACGGATGATTTATCTTCTTCGGACTTTTTTCCGGATTTTGAGAATCTTCGGGCCACTGAACTTGGCGCGGAGACACTTGGGGTACGGAGATAAATTGTCAGCTCGTCTTGGCCGTCGTTGGCTGCTTCGTTTGGTTTATTTTTCTTTCGCTCTTCTTCTCTGATGGCTTGTAATGTACTTGAACCCAAAACGTTGTCGTTTGTCAGGCGAGATCTTATCCGTCGAGAGTAACGAGGGTCTATTTCTTCCGGGCTGTTGGGAACGTTTAGGCTTGATTTTCTCCAGGGTGATTTGTCCGTTTGGGCTGAATCGGGTTGAGCTTCTTTAATAAAAATTTATGATTAGTTCAGGGTATTGAAGTGAATGAAAAAAGGTTTTTATTAAACAAACCTTCAATAGCTTCCATGGTTCGCATAACGTCAGTCTTTTCAACTGAAGGGCGCCAGTCGTAGACATTTGAATAACCAGAACGTGAATTTTCTTCTGTTGTGTTGGTTTTGCCTTCATTTTCTACAAATATAAAATTATTTAAAAAAAATACTCTATCTCTAGATACATAAATAAGAAATGACCTTGTATCTTGAGAACTATTAACATTTTTAGAATATAAGCTCACCCTGACATTACACTCATCGGGACCTTTCATTTGAGTACCCACATCAATATTTCATATATTTATATATATTTTGAATATGTATATATGAAAAATATATCATAATGCATGTGGGTACTCAAGTGAAAGCTCTTGATGAGTGTAACATCAGTATGAGCTTATATCTTGAAAAATATCAATAGTTAAGAAATAATAGTGCAATTTAACATAATTAAGAAATGACTTTGTATCTCGTAAACTATTGATATTTTTGAAGATATAAGCTCATCCCGATGTTACATTCATCAATACCTTTCATTTAAGTACCCACATCATTTTTCATATATTTATATATATTATATATATATATATATATATGTATATATGAAAAATATATAAAAATACAATTTAATAAAATCCATCATTTAATAAAGCAAAATTTTATTTATTTATAGTTCACAAGTCACGGCAGTCACATAGTGCTAATTTTATGTAAACAAATAATTTACCTGAATCCTCGAAGGACTTTCTGTTAGCCTGTAACTGTCGCGCTCTCGTTGTAATCTTTTCCAGCAATTTAATAAAATCCATCATTTAATAAAGCAAAATTTTATTTATTTATAGTTCACAAGTCACGGCAGTCACATAGTGCTAATTTTATGTAAACAAATAATTTACCTGAATCCTCGAAGGACTTTCTGTTAGCCTGTAACTGTCGCGCTCTTCGTTGTAATTCTTTTCCAGCTTTTTCTTCTTTTTCATTTTCTGATAACCAAGCTTCGATTTTTTGTCGCCACGCTCGTCTAAAATAAAATAAAATTTATTACAATTAAATAAATTCTTCTTACATTTAAAAACTAATTATTTCATACCCAGTAGGTTTAGTTTCTTCTTCCTGTAAAAAGGCTTTATTTTCTGCCAAAGGAGACGGAGAATTGGGTCTTTCACGATCGCCTGAAAAGTCTGCATTCAATAAATCGCTGCGACGAGGCTGTCCTCTAGCTCGCCTTGCCCACGATCGATCTACAATATAAACCCGTAAATCAGGCAATAAATCAGTAGACCTGTCATGCTAAATGGATTAAAATAAAATAAAATTTAAAATTACCCAAACTTCCCCAAGATTTACGCTCGCGCGTGTTATCTTGACCAGAAGTTCTCAAAAAGTCCATCAGATTATCGTCATTATCTTCGCATGGAATACGGCTTCTGCGTCGCCTGAGAGTTCCATTAGGAGTAATGTCCGGTGAGTAAGTATCTTCTTTGGTAATTTGCTGATCGGGACCGCCCGAGCACGATCCAAGTCGACGTCTGATACTCGGTGATCCGGTTATTGATATGTCTTCATCAGAAGTAACTCCGCCGTTTTGCTGTAGTCTTTTTATTTTAGCTTCGCTGCGATTATACGACTGTCTGGCGAAACTCTGAATGTCTAAGAGCCCGTAATCCATTAAATTGCTCTCAGACTCTGAGCCGGGGATATCTGCCGGGTTATTTACTGTTTAAAAAATAACCAATTAAATATCAAGATTTATATATCTTTTAACCTTTTATATTTATATTTATATTTAAATTCACTATAAAACACTTACAAAGCCGCTTTTTCGCCAGCAGTTGTTCTTCCCGTTGTTTACGTCTCGCAGTTGCTTGCTCTTCCTGTATCCTCCGTCTTTCATTTTCAGCGATCGCTTGGTTAAACTTCAAACAAAACTGGTGCAATATTTTAAAACATTCTTCTATTTTAAAGGTGTTTATGTCTTCGCAGAAAAATTCAGCGAGCGTACGTCTTACGCCTTCTAGCTCTTCCATATTTCGCTTTAATTGCGTCATTACTTGTTCGGCCATCTAAAAAGTAATAAAATTTTCGGTAAATTTATATTATTAAAAGAATAAGAAAAATTTTGTGTCATTGCAAAGGTCTTGATTTGAATTTAAGCCTTTTCAACGTTTCTTGCTTTATTTCTAGATACATAATTAAGAAATGACCTTGTATCTTGAAAATTATTGACATTTTCAAAGATATAAGCTCATCCCGATGTTATACTCATCAAGACCTTTCATTTGAGTACCCACATTAATTTTTCATATATTTTATATATTTATATATATTATATATATATGTATATATGAAAAATATATCAAAATGCATGTGGGTACTCAAATGAAAGCTCTTGATGAGTGTAACATCGGGATGAGCTTATATCTTTAAAAATGTCAATAGTTAAGAAAGTACAGGGCATGTTAACAAATATCTCGTGAACTATTGACACTTTCAAAGATATAAGCTCATCCCGACATTACACTCATCAAGACCTTTCATTTGAGTACCCACATCAATTTTTTTATGTATTTTATATATTTATATATATATAATATATATGTATATATGAAAAATATATAAAAATGCATGTGGGTACTTAAATGAAAGCTCTTGATGCGTGTAACATCGGAATGAGCTTATATCTTTAAAAATGTCAATAATTAAGAAAGTACAGTGCAATTTTACAAAATTCATTATTTAATAAAGTAAAATTCTATTTATGGTTCACAAGTCATGGCAGTGACATAATGACTGCAAGGTTGCTAGTAGTTTCTTAAAAAAATATATTTTAAAATTACCTGTAAAAATTGGGCCATTTGTTCCTGAATATCGCTTTCAGTCGTTGATAATTGAATTTGATTTTTTATCTTCTTTATTTTAGTGTCTAAAGCATTGAATTCGTTTGTTAATTGTTCGATAGTAGTTCTAAAAAGTTGAAAAAAAAAAAATATTAATAAAAATAAAATCATTGAATTTCTTAGATAAAAGTCAGTCAAGTATTCTAATTACTTCGTAGCCGGTTCAAGTGCGCTCATTTTATGAGAAAAGTCCAACAAATTCTTCCGTTTCCTCTCAACTTGCAGAGCAACATAATGAATGAGATTCATTCCCGGTTTATTGGCTCGTATTTCTGTTAACTTTTGCAGCGACGACAATTTAACACCCGCTGCATTACCGGCATATCCTCCCTGGTAATAATAATCGCTGATTAGTATACTGACTCATCAATTCTAAATAATTGCATACTTAAAAATTTATTTACTGAGTTAAGAAAGTTTCCAGCTACTAGAACCATGTATAGCACCTCTTGAAGCTGTTTATTAGTCATCAAACCTTTGCCGGCGAGAATCATTGAGTCAACACTCGGTTCCAGATAATTCATGTTTGCTGCAAATTCTTCTTTCAGCAGCATACACTCTATCCTCAATTTATAACTAGAAAAATCATAAATTATAATTACAATTAATAATCAACTCCTTAAAAAATTAAATTGTAATAATTCCTAAATGAAAAATTACTTTGGCACTTGGATGAGTTGAAGGAAAAACTTTTCAGCGTTGCCAAGTTTCGATTTATCGCCATCGAAACTCTTAAGCATCTCGAGCTCGTCTACTTCGGGTAAAATTTTAAGTAACCCGCGTAATTTTTCAGCTCCTATATGATCGTGACCACCATCGCGGATCAGCTGAATTATGTCTTCGTTAGAGCTTCGGAATTGTTTTAAGAATATGTTGACATTTAGACTTCTTTTGCCGTCTAATAAAGCAATCTGTTAATTAAGTAAAATATAAGATAATTAATTAATTTATTATGATAAGTATTTAGGCTGTATTCGAAAATACTCTATCTCTAGACACATAATTAAGAAACGACCTTGTACTTTCTTAACTATTGATATTTTTAAAGATATAAACTCATCCCGATGTTACACTCATCGAGACCTTTCATTTGAGTACCCACATCATTTTTTCATATATTTATATATATTATATATATGTATATATGAAAAATATATCAAAATGCATGTGGGTACTCAAATGAAAGCTCTTGACGAGTATAACATCGGGATGAGCTTATATCTTTGAAAATATCAATAGTTAAGAAAGTACAGTGCAATTTAACATAATTAAGAAATGATCCTGTATCTTGTGAAATATTGACATTTTTAAAGATATAAGCTCATCTTGATGTTACACTCGTCGAGACCTTTCATTTGAGTACCCACATGCATTTTGATATATTTGTCATATATTCATATATATAATATATATAAATATATGAAAAAATGATGTGGGTACTCAAATGAAAGGTATCGATGAGTGGAATGTTGGGGTGAGCTTATATCTTTAAAAATGTCAATAGTTAAGAAAGTACAGTGCAACTTAACATAATTAAGAAACGACCTTGTATCTTGT